CATGTATTTAAATTGGTGGCAACGTTTGGAGGCTGCACCAGGGTTTTTAGGAGCAGTAGTATCCTTGGGCATCAGGTTATACATTCCTAAGGGTAAGTAATATGAGTTTTGCCTTTCCCAGCATTTCTCAAATTTTCTATAGCATCCACTAATTAATTTGTCAGAAAATGCAGGGATGCCCTAATTGACTAACCACTTCTTTCTATGCTCCTGTGTTTAAATATGTGAAAATTCATTTTTTAATAAATAAGGTGATTATAAATGTATTTATGTATGCCTTTGCCTTGCCTTCATTTTTAAAGATCTCTTAAAATTAAAAAGTGTGTTTTAAAATTTAATCCAAATGTTTTTGTTTGCCATTTTTCTATGCATCTTTCCACCATATAATGTATGTTGTAGTCTAAAGCTTAATGCTAATATTCATGTTGATGCTTATGTTATCAGCTGTATGCGCCAATGCATTTTCAACTCTCTGATCCATTTGCACAATCCAGCAACATTAACTTCTAACTCTGGGGTTGCCAACCTTTTCAACTTCGGGGACCACCAAACTCATAATTTTAAATCCCGAGGACTACTAATACAATTTTTTTTAAAAAAAGATAATATATTTAATATAAAAAAATATTTTTATATTAAATATAAATTTAATATTAAAAATAATTTTATACACACACACACACAAATGCTTATTTAATTATAACAAAATCATAAATGCTTAATCATAACTATGGGGCAGAGTGAAGGGAAAGGAGGGGCATCTCTCATTCTTTGTGGGGGGGGAAAGAGGGAGGATTTAAGAAGCCACATGGTGCCTGGAGGCTGGGAAGATCTGGACAGGGAGGAACCAGCTCCCCCTCAAATGGAAGAAAAGCAGAGCTATCTCATATCTCTCCCAAGTCAGAGGAAACCTCTCCCTTCTTTGCCAGGTGTGCCTTCCTGGAGTTGCGGGGAGGTGGGGTGGAGGAGAGCCAGACTGGAATCACCGACAGGCTCCTAATTACCAAGCAACACCTCCCCTTCAGCCTCCACATAAGAAGAGGACTCCCTGAGGCTAAGCTCCAGGTTTCTCCTGTTGCTTCCAAGCAGAGAAGGATCCCTCCCTGTGAAGGCTGAAGGGGTGTGTGTCGAGTCCAGATAAGCTGGAGCTCTCACCTGCACAAACAGGCTGGTTATTAGGAGCCTGTCTTCCTCAGCGCTCTTTTGGTCTGGGCATTTGGTTTCTCCCCCCCCACCCCATGCCAAAGGAAAGCCAGCCAAAGGAAGGCTTCTCCTTCCCTCCTACCCTTCCCCACACTCAATCTCACTTTGGGACAGAGGAGAGTGCACTGGAAAGGTGTGCTGGCTTTTCCAACATGCCTTACTCTGGCGCTTGCACACAATTCTTCACATTCCTCCAGCCCTGGCTTGCTGAGGGGGAAGTGATGAGTTGCGGGTCCCAGTGCCGGGTTGATGAGTTGCGGGTCCCAGTGCCGGGATGAATCAGCTGACGACC